CTCCTTGTTGGCTTCCTGGCACCAGTCCTGCCGAGAGTGCCCGTGCTGCCCGCGGCCCTCCTCCGCAGGCGATGCGGGGGTCCTTGGCGCCACGACTCGGTCGTGTGGGGCGGCAGGCCTCTCGTCTTGTTTGATGCCGTCATCCCTCGCCTCCTCCTCCTTCTCCTTCTCCTTCTCCTCCTCCTGCTCCTCCTCCTCCTCCTCCTCCTCCTCCTCCTCCTCCTCCTCCTCCTCCTCCACCCGCAGAGGATCATCCACGAAGTCCTCCGTGAGCAGCCAGAGCCAGATGGCTTCGCGTCCTTGCCACGGCAGGTAGCTAGTCGCGCCCCCCCCCGGAGCCCGGTGCGCAGCGCATTTGGTGGGAACGTGTGCGGCTGGCCCTACGTCGGTGCCCCCCTGCCCATGGGAGGGCCTGCCCCTCGATACCTTCACGGGCTGCGCTATATGCAGACAGCACTTTTGTGCACACGACCTTTTTCAGAGAAAGTATGTCGAGCCTCGTCGTAGTCATTCCCCTCCTTTTCATCCCCCTGCTGCTACTAGACCTCCTGATCCTATGCTTGCTCCTCCCGCTCTTCCCCTCTTCCTTCTCCCCTCCGCCTCACTCTTTCTCTTCTTGCCCTCGTCGTCGCCGCCGTCGCCCGCATCGAGTCCTCACGACGGGGTGATTTGGACAGTTGCCAAGGGGCGGGCGGACTCACAGCTGGCCCATGAGCACGAGGTGAGAAAGATCAGTGTGGTGCCAACTTTCCGGCGTCATGAGAGATTAGGTTTGGCGATTGTCCCGAACTTTCTCCGAGAGATTGCTGTCGTCGTTGGAGGGTGCGTTGGCTGATCTGCGCCCTGAGTCCCAGCATGGTTTCGTCGTCCTCTCGTCGCTGCCGTTGCCCTCCTCGTCGCCTCTCTCCACACGGCCTCGTCGTCGTCATCCTAGTTCACGCGTCCTGCTTCCGTTAGGCGTCGCAGCCGCGCGTCCTGTACGAAAGTCGGGTTGCGCTGTATGCGTTCGTAGATTCAGTGTCCCCCGTCGCCAGTCGATCCAGGAGATGTCGATCTTCAGGCTCTGTAGCCAAAAACTATCAAAAACTCCGAGCCGTATCTTCCCGCGTATCCCGGCTGCGAGTCCGCTGGAGGTCGGCGCTGTCGCGACTTCTTTCTCCACTCTTGGCATTGCGCTCGGTCTGGGAGGATGGTGCCCGTCATCGTGGACCGCGATCCCCCCTCGCGCCCTCTGCTGTCCTGGGGCCCTCGTTCCCCACCTCGGAGTTCCGCTCCACGGTCGTGCGCAACGACCTCGGCGAGGCTCTCCGCGCTGGCCCCCGAACCCAGGAGGAAGATGACGTATGACTCACGGCGCTGGGGAGCGGGGCCAGAGGAGGAGGAGGAGGAGGAGGAGGAGGAGGAGGAGGAGGAGGAGGAGGACGACGACGAGGAGGAAGAGGAGGAGGAGGAAGGAGGAGGAGAGGAGGAGGAGGAGGGAGGAGGAGGAGCGAGGAGCAGGAGGAGGAGGAGGGAGGAGGAGCAGGAGGAGCAGGAGGAGGAGGAGGGAGGAGGAGGAGCAGGAGGAGGAGGAGGAGGAGGAGGAGGAGGAGGAGGAGGAGGAGGAGGGGGGGGGGAGCAGCGGCACGCAGAGGGCCGCGGCGGCGAGCAGGCGCAGGGGGGGAGGGGCAGCCGGAGGGCGGCAGCACAGGGCGGGACGGCGAGAGCGGGCGCAGCGGGGGGGCGGGCAGCGGCGCGGGGCGCGGCGGCCCTCGCAGGCCTCCGTCGGTGCAGCGTCGGAGCAGCAGGCTTGCGTCATCATAGGCAATACTTAGCATCGCTCGGGCGTGTGCTTTTTTCCTTCGGCGAGGGCCCTCGAGGAGCATCCTTGAGTATTTGGCGAAGAAACCACGCGCGAAACCGAAAAAAAACACAGGGAATGGACGTCCGAGCGATGGCCAGAATAGGCCCATCACTATTCAAAATAGGCCCATAGTCAATGAGCCCATCACTGTCCCAAATAGGAAGATCCAGGACTAGTCCAGGAATGGTCCAGGAATAGTCCAGGAACAGTCCAGGAATAGTCAGGCTCTGCAGGAGGAACATCCAGGAGTAGTCCAGGAATGGTCCAGGAATGGTCCAGGAATGGTCCAGGAATGGTCCAGGAGTAGTCCAGGAATAGTCCAGGAATAGTCCAGGAATAGTCCAGGAATAGTCAGGCCCTGCAGGAGGAACATCCAGGAGTAGTCAAAGGGTAGTCTGGGGACGATCTGTTGATTGTCCTGTCCCTCTGCAGGAGGGAAGTCCAAGAATGGTCCAGAAACGGTATTGGGACGATTTTAGTTGAATATGTTTTGCTATGTTTGAGCATGTTGTGACTATTCTTGGTTTGTCGTCCAACATCCGCCTGTTAGGAGAGCATGCCCGACCTGACGGCAGGCACGCGGCGCGGCCCGGCGAGGTGGCCGAGACCCTGCGGTCCCTCAACTGCAGCCCCGGGCGGGAGGCCGAGGCCGTGCAG